TGCAGCGAGCTACTGGCTGCCACGAGCAGGGGGGTTCCCAGCACGGCCATGGCACGTTGCTATCGCCTGCCAGCCTGGCATCCCTGGCTGCTCCCTCTCTGTTCCCATCAAATGTTTCTTCCTCTGGGTTGGAGCAGAGATATCCTCCTCCTTTGGAGGTTTGGCAAATTTCCTCCTTGCTTCCACTGTTAAACGCTCAGAAATGCCCAGTTCCTAATGCCCGGGCAGGGAACAGGCTAAAATATCCCTTCTTGTGCCGGCTCCTGGAGGGTTGGGTCTCCCTGGGGGAATCCCGGCTCCCAGGGAGAGATGGATGTGATGGGGAACCACTGCCCTGGGCTTGTGGCTGAGTTCCCGGGGCCAGGGCTGAGCATCTCCTCCCCAAACCCTCCCCGAGGCCTCTCCTTTGGGTGCTGCCCCGCTGCCAGCTGTCCCCGGGGGAAGCCCGGGTGTCCGTCGGGAAGTGCCCATGTTTGGAAGCGTGGCCTAAAATAGTGGTGGCTGTGGGGGGCGAGGGGTCTCGGTGGCATGTCCTTCTGGGGAGCCTGAGAGCAGAGTGGCGAGAAGAAGCCAAATGGCTGTGAATAATGTGCATTCCTCACTGATGACAAACTAACCTAGTTCTGGGTCGGGACTGCATACCGCGCTCCAGCAGTTTATCTAACACTGTGCACTGCAAAGCCAGCGCTCAGCTCTGCGCGGGGTCCTTCTTCGACCGTCTTCGTTTCCCTCGGGTCTCCTTCACCCCAACTTTTCCCTTGTCCTCAACACTGTGGTGGCTTGCCAGGCTCCTTTCCCTCTCTCCCATGTGCTTTGCCCTTTGCACACCAGGCCCATCACTTTGTATCGAACGCATGGGGCCGGGGAGCATGGAGGAGGACATGTGCTCCAGGGTGCTGTCAACCTCTGGGCTTGGCTCACAGGGGTTTGCAGCCAGGGTGCTGGGTGCTGCGCTTTCCGGGAGGGAGGCACGTATGTGGGGGCACTGCCATGTGTCCCTGTCTTATCTCCAGAGCAGTCCTCTCCCTCCCTGTTTGCCGTTTGCATGACTCTCTGCTGTGTGTACAACAAGGGGAAGGAATCTGGGCTTGATAAAGCTTGTTGCAGCTTGTAGGAGGCAACCCCCAAAACTTCCAAAATTGCTTTGCATTTATAAAAAAAAAAAAAAAAGTGCCTTTGCTGCTCTTGCCTGTGCTCCAGAGATCAGCTGTGCCACTGCAGTGCGTGTGGGCAGGCATGTCTTGGAGGAGCGAGGGGCCGGGGGTCCATGGGCAGCAGCCAGCAGTGTCTCGGGGGGTTGCTGCCAGGCGAGGCTGGGAGGGCTCCTGGCGGGGTCCCAGCACAAACCCCCCCAGCGTTGCCTTTGACCACTGGTCCTGGCTGGTGAGTGCTCCTGCGCTTTGGAGCAGCTGCTTGGCCCATGGCTGCAAGGTGGCTTTTGCTGGGGACATGCCTTTTCCTAGCGCTGGGATGGCCCATCCAAGCCTGGCATGGGGGCACACAGGGGAAGTCCCCGCGGCTTGTGGCTCAGTCCCCTGCACGTCCCTGGGCAGGGTAGGGAGTGCAGGGGGTGCCAGCCCGGGAGGGTTCTTGGGCACAAGGCTGTGCCTGGGGACACTGGGATAGCAGGTTCTTTCTAAAAACCTTAATATCTCCTCGATTATGGGGAGGCATTTGCATTTCGCAGCCTTTGGGTGGGAGTGCAGTAAGCAAGGCCAAATCTCCCTCACTGACAAGCAAGAAGAGAGCAGACTAACGAACCTCACTTGTTAGCAAGCATCATTTTGGCCTATTCTGTGAAGGAGGCAGGAGAGGGGTACCCAGCTCTTGCCTCAGGAGCTCCGGTCTCTGCCTCCCTGCCCTGCGGGCTCTGGTGCCCTGGCTGAGCACGGGTTATTTAGCACAGCACCTTCTCCTCACGGCTGCTCTGTTTTTAACTCCTCCAGGAGGAAGATCCAGACTCAGAAAACGAGAAGCTGGTGATGAGAGAGCCAGAGGATGAGGATGGTGAGTGCCGAGCAAGCCAGCACCCTGCGGGGAGGGTACGGATGGGTCTGAGGGACTGAAGCCCCGAGTGCTTAGGGATGGTCTCCGTCCTCCAGGAAATGCAGAGGAAATTCCTACCCCACAGCAGCCCATTTGCTTCCCCAGGTGCCCTTGGGCTGTTTGCCATGACGTAGCTTTGTGATGAAGCTGCCCCAAAAGCTCCTTGCTCACATCCAGGACGATCTCCAGGGGCTTTAGTCAGAGCCATGTTTAACTGATTAGCCAATTAGTTGATTGGAAAATGATTAATTGACTAATTGAGGTGACAACTGCTGCACTCGTAAGAAAATGAAGCAGATGGTGCCAAGCAAGAGTGTGTGTATGAAGGGGACTCTGCTCTTCTGAGCAGCCCCAGAGATGCTGGGATGTCTCCAAGAGCCCCTGCCCGGGGTGACCGTGGGCAGCAGGAAAGCTTGGGGCGTTCCCCCTTCCCTGCCCCACTTTCCACTTGCCCTTTTTAAGGCACTGTGTGGCAATCCCCTGGCTTGGAAGGATTATGCCTAATGCGACAGAGAATCAAATTTTAATCCTGGTGCCGTGCCCGCAAGGTGGGGGAAGCGCCTTTGGAGACAGGGTTCCCAAAAGACACTTGCTGCACCCCGTTAGGCTTCCTCGCAGCCCTGGTGATCGGGAACGTTACTGTGTGGGACTGTGGGAGACCTGGTTTGACGAATGATGGACATATCCTGCCAAATGGATGCTCAGTAACGCTGCTCTGCCAGGGTCTGCCTCCTTTGGTTCAGCCCTGTTTCAGGGCTGCTCCAGCACTGCTGTGCATCACCCCGAAGTGGCTGTGCCTCGGGAGCACGTGGAGATGACAGTCCCTTGCCATGGGTCATGGCTACCCCAGCATCCTCCCTAAACATCTCCTGCAGACAGCCACCGACTCCTCTCCTGACTAATTTACACCATTTCTGAGGTGTTTTAACAGGACTGGGTAAAGCGATGTCTCAGCTTGATGATGATGAGGTGAGTGGTGTGCAGCTGGGAATAACGGTGGTTGCCCTGGCTTTGCACGGGAGAAACCTCGCTCCTTCCTTCACCATTTCTCCTGTGCATCGCTTGGTCCTGACCCAACTCAAGCCACTGAGCTGCTGCTCGGCAAGCCCGCGAGCGGAGATTCCCCTCGGGCACACGGGGATGGCATGGGGAGTCTGTCACCAGCCCGGGATGCTGCCATGGTGGCCAAAACCACCAGAGCAGCCTTCTCCCCGCTTCGGGCAGCAAGGCTCGCAGGGAGGAGGCAGGTACTTGCTGCGTGCACAGGGCACGCCGGAGCGAGCGTGTTCGGAGCAGAGGTGCACTCGGGGGGCTGCTTTCACCCTGCGAGCCCAGGGGCACGGTGCTGGCAACGCAAGGGCAGAGAGATGAAAGACAAATGTTTTCTTTAATATGAACTCACAGAGGCTCTGAGTAAGTAGGTCACCTCATATTTCTGTAGCGTTTTCACTGTCCACGTGAAAACCCGGCCTCCCCTTTTCCATGTGTTTCCTGAAGTTTGTTTTCAGTCTGCAAAGAAAGTTCCTGAGCTCAGAAAACATCCAGTCGTTTCCAAAGCCGCACACTGGCTCCTTTTTAACCACAACATGTGGGCAGGGAGATGGATAGCCTCCTCGCCTCCCTCTTCCCCTATTCTTTTCTGGCGGGGTGGCAATTAAACGGCCCTTTTTTGGGACAGGCAAAATCCCAAATCTCAATTTACTTGGCAGAAAACCACAAGGAAAATGATCTTAATTGTCCTTGAAATCAGGCAAGCTATACAAAGGTAATGAAATGGCTCCTGCTCTACATCAGGGTAAGAAACAGGATGTTACACCCTCTTTTCTTTTTTTTTTTTTTTTTTTTTTCCTTAATATCTCCCAAAGCAGCAGCCAGCTGAATTTTCTTTCCGTGCACTTTTACAGCCACCCGAAGGGCTGATAAGCCACAGCATTACTGCTTGTTTCCAGCTGGCCAGACTTGTTTGTCTGCTGGTGTGGAGGGTTTTCCCACTGAGGGAAGCGGGATATGGCCAAGCTGAATGTTTGGGGCTGCGGGATCGGAGCATAGGGGTGCTTGTGTTCGGACACTTGTGAAGATGCTAGGGAAAGGGTTTGCCTCGTCGTTCCCCCAGGAGCCCCGATGGTGTTTTGGGATTAAAGAAACACTCCAGATCAGTAACTGAGCAGCAATCCACCAGGACTTCCCAGGGAAGCTCCCCAAGATCGGGGACACAGAGATGTAGAGAAGAAGGGAGGAAATGTGGGTATCTGCAGGGAGGAGGTTTCTGTTAAATTCCCAGCCCACTAACATCACTCCAGGCACACTCTGTACGCTGGTGGCAGTGACCTTGCAGCGGCCGGCACGCTTGGTCCTGTACCTGCCCGCGCAGCCTTGCACAGCTTGTTTTTTGAGATCTCAAGTTTCCCCATCTACAAAATGAGGCTCTGACCTGTCTTTCGCATGGGGGTCCCCAAGGTCCGTGAGAGCTCTGGCAGCAGCTGAGTGCATGCGTGAGCTTGGGGTGGGAGAAATCGCTAAATCAAGCGGTTGACCCTGGACAGGGGGAGAAAATCCTTAAGGAGAGTATTGACTGGAAAAATAAAGGGAAGCTGCTGTTGCTGAATCCTTCTGGGTGTGAGGAAGGGAGGAGAGGGGCTGTGGGGTGTTTTTCATTTGGGCAGGTGGGGGAGGAGAGACTGTCACGAATGTGGTGCCTGCAATAGCAGCGGTGAGGACTGGAAGGGGCTTCCTAGGTGGCTGGGGACAGGGAGTAGCTTATGTACAAGTTTGGGCTTTCCCTCCTGCCACAGAAGACAGAGGAGTTTTACCACTCTCGGGGTCCTGCTGGTGCTGGGAGGTATCATCCTGGATATTTGGTTTGTGGATAACGTGCAATTTTTCAGGGCCATGCAGATAATACAGTAACATCTTCTTTTTATGGACCCCTTAGAAGTATCCCCAGGGCTCCGAGGGTTGGTGGGAACAGCAGATGTTTCTGGGTGGATGTGGAAACAGCAATGCTAGATGGCTCGACGTGCGGCAGCCGAG